AACTTGTAGCAAAGAACCAAATAAACTATAAACACCTAACACATGCAAGACAAAATAATCCTATAATAGATGTTACGTCAGTTGTTTCTGAAATCGCACGTACAAAACGATTGCGGATACTTTTATTCATATATATGCCGACATGAAATGAAGAAATAACAATTATCTGCACTGTTGATAACACTCAAAATGATTATCTTCGTGACATATAACCCTTAGCTGAACGATTACAAGAATAAACCAAATGAATTAGTAGAAAGCCCGAATACCGCCATGAGTTATTATATTATATTGACCCAGAATGTTTTTGTAAAACAAGTGTATCTGTTATATTTATCATGGCATATTATATGTTATAGTGACAACAAAACTACCAACAAAAAGGATTGTGAAATTAATATGATCTGAAAAGATGAAAAAAAAATAAAGCTGACTTATCGTTTTTTTTTTGACAATGAATCATACAGAAAATTGAAAGAAAACATTTGGTGGTAATTCACAGTGAAGTGTGACCATATTAACCCAATTCGTATGAGTCAGTCGGCAAACATACTACACTGTAAAACAGGTCTTCAGGGCCAAACACAAATCTTCACAATTGAATATAGCAGTTCTCGTCGCATCTATTTTTAAATACCTCAACCTAAATGATCTTGCTGGTGGGTCGAGTGATCTTTACGGGTAAAAGGTCGTGTCCCGGTACCATTAACATCCATTATTGCCTAACCCCTGCAATGAGCTAATACCTGTCTACAGAGAACACTTTTGAGCTCACCCGTCAAAAATATAGAGATAATATATGTATATTACGTTGTTGCTATGGTGGATTTTTGCATACGATTGCAGCCAACGTAACACGAAAAGAAAATGTAATTTGACACAAGGCTATAGTAGGCTATGATATATTCGAGTGAATATAAATTACGTCATGATATCACTTACATCGTTAGTGACACGTGACATAGCGTTTGCTACTGGGTGATGATTTGGTATTATAAAGTAGGGAATATTCTAGATACACATCACAAACCAAATGTACTGTAAGATGGAGTGAGGAGTGTTAGACAATTGTGATTTCAAACAAGTGTAACTGTAATTTACATGAATCCACACTCCAACTACAATGCTGGATGTAAAATTACAGTATTGTAATTCTAAACAATACAAGTGTAATTGTAATCTAAATAAATCCACACTCCAACTACAATGCTGGATGTAAAATTACAGTATTGTAATTCTAAACAATACAAGTGTAATTGTAATCTAAATAAATCCACACTCCAACTACAATGCTGGATGTAAAATTACAGTATTGTAATTCTAAACAATACAAGGGTAATTGTAATCTACGTGAATCCATACTCAAGCTACAATGTTGCGTGTAAAATTACACTATTGTAATCCTAAACAATACAAGCGTAATTGTAATCTACATAAATCCACACTCCAACTGCAATGTTGGGTGTGAAATTACAGTATTGTGATTCTAAACAATACAATGTAATTGTAATCTACGTAAATCCACACCCCAACTACAATACTGGATGTAAAATTACAGTATTGTAATTTCCAGCAATACAAGTGTAACTTTAATCTACCTAAATCCACACTCCACCTGTAATACTAGATGTAAAATTACACTATTGTAATTCTAAACAATACAAGTGTAATTGTAATCTACGTAAATCCACACTCCAACTGCAATGTTGGGTGTGAAATTACACTATTGTAATTCTAAACAATACAAGTGTAATTGTAATCTACATAAATCCACACTCCAACTACAATGCTGGATGTAAAATTACACTATTGTAATTCCAAACAATACAAGTGTAACAGTAATCTACATAAATCCACACTACAACTACAATGCTGAGTGTAATATTACACTATTGTAATTCCACACTGTAATTTCAAACTGTGCGAATCTACAGTGCAACAACAATGGGGGGTTGTATGCTTACAATATTATATTCCAAAACAAAACAAAACAGGGCATGACAAACCTAATAGTGACAACAGTATTATCATTGTATTGCTAACTTTTGTTTATTAGTGTGTCATTTCCTTTTACTAGGATAATCGTGAATACGTTAGACTTGTGTGGTATATCATTGTCCAGCAATACGGGAATATGCCAAAGTTACAGTTTTATTATACGTAGAGTAATTCAGATTCGACTCTGTGTGAGGCGCACATTTACTTTAGTGTGAATCGACTCTGGAGCTGTTCGTTTTCACACGTTATCCTGTGACCATCTTTCATCGCACATCTGCTAATTGAAGTGCTACAGCCGTGCCATTCCACGCGTTAAAATTAAGTTACATTCTGTTTTCAGATGTTCATGTCACAAATCAACACAACGTTATAGCGTGTGCACAGCCGAAATATATTACACACGAGATACCACAAACTGTATTCTTACTAGTGTGCAATTAACTACAATTGTAGCAGTGTATATGTACCAACAGTTCTATCTATTTACACTCAATGTGTAGTATTATAGTAATTCTACCTTCATCAATATAGCGAATATTATTCAATCCGCCGATAGATTTACATTCAATTATTATTACAAATATAGACACACTTCATGTACGCATGCGTAATCAACTTTGAACTATGTGCGCTAAATTTAACACCAGACGCTATTAATGTCATTGTTAAATAATTATATAGCGTCAGCACTAATTCTCTCATGAATATGCAAATTGTAATTGATATGATATTACATGCATGTTCAATCTAACTCAGATCTGTAAAAATTGAACGAAGACGTCTTATTTTAAATTGTCGAGTTTACGTTAATTTTATTTCACACAGGTAATCATTCACATGAGTTATACTATGATATGTTTAGAAACTTCATCTGAGAGATTTCACACGACCGATGAAGCTCCTATTTCTTTTTCAACAAAACATGTGGACAAAAGACGGGGCTGCTCATAACACGCTGTTCCAAGTTACGCGTGATAACAACGATATTTCCTTTTGTTTTTATCTTAAAGTTAGTAATGATCGTTTAATTTGAACAGCACGTGTAAGAAATGCATTTGTCTATTCCTAAAATTGAAAATACGGTATTTAAAGTGTGACAACAAAATAAATGATAAGTTCCGACTTTCGATACACAAAACCGTCGTATGGGTTCGTTAGGGCTTGGTGCTTTATATTCCAAGTTGAATTAACAGCGTTTGTGGGAATAATTGTATTATTAATTAACACAATAAAATTTCATTCACGTACAAGTCATGATGCGATTTGTCACGACACGTATAGACTAATGGCGTTTTTTTTTTTTTTTTTGCTGTGCGACATACATTACTTAAGGCATAACAAAACTAATTAGTGCAAACACAATGTATGTTTCAACTGACACCTTGCATAAATTACAATGGTTGCCTTATTCGTATGGGCGCCGACTGAATGAACGTGAAATCACCGAAGAATCAGAAACGATAAAACCTTGCATTTGAACGCTGCATATCGACACGGATGACACGCCTAAGATTCACAATGTGAATGGTTTCCTTCCCATTCCTAAAAATACGAATTAATTTGTAATATATTATTAAGCGACGTGGATAAAAAAACACTTGTACTTGAAACTACTTTTGCACGAAGAATTAATATCGAACTCGGATAATTTAGCAAAGAATACCACCTCCGAGGTTAACCTCCACATTGATTAAACTGCATCTTCGATCCCGGCATCATTATTGTATATTGAATCAAATCGCAATTGCTAATGAGTGATCTAGTGGGATGGAAAATTGAAACGATGTAATTGCCTATCATATGGATATGCATTAAATAGAATACGATTCATCTAACTAGTCCGCGGTAAAAATGTTCACATCAAGTCGAGTAACACAACCGCTAATTAATATATTTTCCACAAAGAATGACCGTAACAGCATCTGTATAAATAAAAATATCATTTTTTAATAGTAATTTATATTATAATTCATAATAACAATAATTGTCAAAATATACGTAACATGACATAAATTTGCTTCCTATTATTTTGTTCGGTTCCAAACATAGTGCGGCGTACGGGCAAGAGAATTGCCACACATGTGACCTTTTAAATATATGAACAGATTATGTCATCAAATATATGCGCATGATGTAGGATACGTAATTGTGGGTATGTCATGAATGTCAGCTCAATAAAAATAAATAAATCCACTCACCGTATTGTCAGTATAGATTGACACATACAAATATCCATCATTCTGAATGGGAAAAATAAAAAAAAAATGACAGTAAAAGGATGCCATCATGTGTAATAATAAGAAGTTACTTCGAAGACTGATGTAATATATTTCATATATTCGTGCCTAAACTGAAAGTCACAGCAATTAAAATATGATAATTACAACGGCCACTAAGAATCAAACGAGAACATGTACGAAAATATTGCAAGACAGCGAGTTGATTGAATTAGGAACGAAAATGTTATGATCGTTACCTTTCCATTATTGCAATTATTAAAGCTACATTACGGGCAACAAAATGTATAAGTTTAACTTTACTATTTTAATTTAATAGATGTTTATAGTATATAATAATAAAACAAAGATGCCACTTTAATTAAATGAAATGTACTAGGCTAAGGTACTGTTGTTAAAATCAAGGCAATGCAAAATGTTAATTAGTTGGTGATATGTGTGTTCCCGCCGCAGTTGTGTAATAATTGTTGCTATAGAACAATGACACACTGCACGTCCGTCCGAGAAAATTGATGTCCGTTTTAACAAGATTCTCACGCCAAAATTATCTGCACCAATATAAATCCCATCAAAAAAATTAGCGCATAAACCCCCAACCCACGTCGAAACAATTGTTCCGCCCTCTTGATGACGTTGGCTCCCCTGCGGATTCGCGATCCGACATTTTAAATTCATCGATTAAATTATACGGTTTCCATGGAAGCTGATTAACTATTTTCCTGTATTTATTGGGACTCGCGGACATAAAAAGGCAGAAATAAAAAGGCATCGGTACGCTTCACAGCCTGGACATCATTGGCAGGACACGATACTTTCTTGTAATAATTTATCCACCTAGTTGCTTGAGAAGTAAGTACATTTCATAAACTCATTGGCAAGGCGGCTTTCGGACAGGAAGTTGATAGCCCAACTGACGCACTCCAGCTACCCGGATATTTGCCCCATACCACGTAAGTGTTTGTTTAAAGTGCTCCAACACACACCTGTTTCTAATCTCTTTCTTAGACCCAATTTAACAGTTTTGTGCTATTTTACAAGTTCTTTGTTTAGACAGGGTAGACGTGCATGGGAATAAGACCAGCGAGGGTGATTATTAAAACACCGTAACCATGACAGAGCAACCGTTTAGTCAATATCAAAAATCAAGCATTTTGTTTTACGACGAGCTTTAGCGCATTTAGTTAAGTCAATATAGCGATGGGTCGTAGTAGGTGTTGTCAACCGTATATTAAGGGGCATTCTGTGTCGATTCTCCTCAGATTGAGTTTCTCGCTTTCTGAGTCAATAGGCGATATATAATCAGGGACTAGAGCGAGCTCAAGCGAAGGTAAGTTTCACGGCGGTGTAGTTAATTTTGCTTCTACATCATTAATCAATATAGCACGAAAACGTGCTGTGGCGCGATAAACTGAGTTTGGATAGTGTATATTTCATTCCATAATATTGAGTTTATTGGTTAAAATTCAGATTTTAGCAATTTATCTCAGCGGTGATTTCTGTGACGACGGCGTATAATGACCTATAACGCTCTCATGTCTGATAATAACTTAAATTATTAATTTTGTAATCTTAAAACATGAATCTCATATTTTATTGAGTAATATTCGTTTTATAATATTTTTTAAGCAACAAAATCAACTTTTAACATTCGTGTGTCCGATTTGTTCTGTAGAACGGTCAGTATGCCCATTCTTTAGGGTTCCAATTCAGAAATGACGTTTAATATGCACGTGATGTGGTGTACTCAATACCAATGAATATATGTGTTTCAATATTCATCTTAATTGGCAATGAACCTGTAAAGTTGTGACTACTAAAGCGGTAGACTGCGTATTTTGGTGACGTCAGATTGTTGAAATATTAATGATTGTTTTGGGTGTTATTAAACACTCGTGGATGTCCAGGGTGTTAAGCAGGCAGCTGTGGCGACTTGCTGATATTTGTTTCTAATACATACCTGTAGCCGCAGGTGATCAACGGTCTCTATTGAATTAAATCTCAATTAAGGCCCTCGGCCAATAATGAACTCCAATTGAGGCAAATGTAACATTTCCCGATGATAAGAACGTTTGATAGAATTCAATTATTTTAAAATCAAGCAAGGTGTCTGCTTCTACTTTTCCGTTATATATTGAGTATTATGTTTTGCCGCTCTCAAGTCGCCCTCCTGTCTGTATAGCTTCCTTTGGGGAAAACACGGTTTATCTAACAAATACTGTGTTTGTCCACATTCTACAACTAATTGCCAGTCTCATTTGAGGTACAAGTTTCGGATCTTATGTGTGCGCCACAGTCTCTTCAGTAATTTAATTTATAACGTTGTGAATTATAGATTCTGTATATGACTGTAAAAACAATAACATGTATATTGGACAAATTTGTGTAAAAATGTTTTCTCTGATAATTTGTAATAGCGCGTATTGAGACAACATTTATGAGTTCCGATACTCATCTGAAATATCGCCGAAGATCAGATATATCCTTCCGCGAGATATCGTTTCGGAAGCTCAATAAATCGTATAACATTGTGCCAACATGCTACCTTACATTGGTATTGCAGCACATTGCTCAGTATGCATAAACCGGGTAATTGTGATGTATCATACATTGTCAATGCCCTATAAAAGACATGTATTCAACGCAACGCAACGTGATGTCTTGCTGTAAAAACCAGCCGCTCAGTAACAGTCAATTGATGATGATACGATACGACAAAACGGCCGTAACCCAGCATTTGTGTAATGATGATCTCGGTATGACTGTGACGGAAAATAAGTACATTAGTCAGATCACAGTGACTGGTATGCGACTAGGCATAGACTGGAAGAATACAAATGGCATATCAAATGATCATTTCTTGACACGCGGGGAATGCAAATTACGCATCAGTATCTGTCAGCGCCTCTCTGTCTATATCAAGTAAGAATCGCTCAACCTGTGTGAATGCAAACAAGATACACGTTTTTCTGTCGATCTTAAATCGTCATTGAACGTTTTACAGCCACTTTAAAGGTGTTGTCGGTGAGATGAATTTATGTTTACACCGTTACGAATGTGCTAGAACCGAACAAGATGATGGCCTATCGCGTAATAACAAAGTGGAAAAGTACTGTCATATGACAATTGCCCGTTACTCATTATGTGAGGAACATTCCAAACAAACCATCGTACATTTCTTATAATATGAACAGTTAATGAAAAATTACGTCCTTATAGTTCCACGCTAGCCGACTTGTAGTGTTTAATCATGTCATATGTGTCCACCACTGCATGTGCCTACGAAACTCTCGCGGAGTAGTCCTACTACGCAAGGCTTCAATTCAAAATGCAATAGTTGTTAGATTGTTAAACGACATGCAGCATTAGATAATTAAAAAACACGAAACCCATATGACCGAAAAGAACTGTTTCAATACTTATTGGTCACGTGTTACTTTATTTCTAGTTAGGCCTAATGTATATTTACGTGTTTGCGTCACACCAGAATTGAACTGAGAAACACCTCTCATAGTTTTACATTTATACGAGTTGCAACAGTCATGTCAAGGGATGGCAACAGAACTTCTAAAAATGTCAGAGTTGGTGAACGTGCGGTTTATTAGTACGTAAGCTTGTTCTGAATAATTATCAAGGAATAATACAGGATTTATCGTGTTATAGTGAAGTATAATTACGGTTTCCCAACACATTAGTACGAATGAAAATATAAGTAATACTCGACACAATCGACCTTTATTGCTACCTTAATATAGACATCCACAAAAGCCACTGTAACGGCACGAAGAAGTAGACGTTAACACGGATTCTCAGAATCACAAACTATTCTAATTCAAAATACATTAGATATATGTCTAGCACGATTTCTTCACAAGCGTGTCGTAACGAGATCATTGGGTTATATGATTCGCGAATCCCTTTATTGTCCGTATATTCCCATAGATCGGTGGACGATAAATGGAATTTTGTTGTACAGCAGTTTGCTTTAATTGGATTTGTTTATGTTGTCCTCTAATTAAAAGCAGTGTGTGTTTCCCCTGATGACTCTAATAATTAGTTAGTGATTTATCACACAATCACAATACACTCGCTTTTAATATGCACCATTACCTGCAACTTTATCGGAATATTCTAGGAGGTTAAATTAACACAGACAGTCAGTGTTCAAACCAAAGCTATCAGGTTACTTCACAAATGAGTATAACCCCAATTTGATATGCATAGAAGGAGTATATTTACAATTATAGAAATGGGATTTCGCTGTAATGAGTGAAACACAGAGTTGTTCCCCAACACGCTATACCACAATGTACATACACGTACTGTAATCAGAGATTTAAACGAACTCTTTATAAAAAAGAAATATTGAAAAGTCAATTCAGAATTCAAATTACATATTGATACATGACACCCAAGTACGTTCAACGTTGTCAGATTGATATTTATTCAGGAAATTGACGTTCGTCTTATTTTCTATAAATTAATTTGGCCCGGATTCGGTATTGACGTAAATTTCGTTCACGGTTATCCCCCCCCCCCAAGTTTAAGGTGTTCCATTGTTCCGCTGCAATGCGTGTGTATTACCATAGAAGCATAGCCTGAGCTCAACTTGAGGTCTGAACACCAATCACCTTTATTTACAATTTACAACACTTAACGTGTACCCGAAAATAACACCCGTAATTTTAGTAGTTTTCGCATAAACCGTGTCCACGACAATCAAAACGTAGCAAGCACTATCTGGCGGACAAGTGTAGCGATAAAACAAGATAGCGGCAAATACACAGAGCAGATTAAGCCCATCAATTTGTCGAAAATCCGTAATCAGAGATCGATTTTTAATGTTCTCTACGGATAAATTGACGATTTTATGGGATAATAAAAAGGGCCGTGTAATATATTTCTCCCTCATTCATATACACCGTGTATTCAGCAAATAAAAGAGCGAATAATCTTAAATAGATTATGTATTTTATAAGGAAAAAAAGCATCAACTTAAGTCAAGTAGAGAGTATCAAAAACATCGACACAATTTCCCACGTGAAGTAAATGCATAGTGATTATAAAATTAAAAATGATCCTTTGCCTGCACACACGATGCGTTAAAAAGAAAATATAATATGATTATATGCTACACGGTGCCGCTTCTCTTTTATGTTTACCTGGCCCCATGGGTGGAGTTCTTATCAAATTTGTGTTTGTAATTTGTTTTATGAAACGTTGCTATTAATTTAATGAATATTGTGAACAAATTGCCATGGGAGGCATCTGATAAGACAACACTATTCTTGAATTTTGTTTCATAATTATTGCTCTTTCCTTGCTCATTGTACTTCCTGAATTAAATTCCTCGTTTTTACGCAGTGTCAATATACCGTTATATCAACCACTGTATAAGACGGTCACGCATACTGTCGTTTTTTATTAGATGCCGTAAATCACAAAACACAATCCTGGGACATGTAACCTCGGTAATAAATCCGTTATCTATAGGAAAGATGAATATCATTAATTCAGCATCGTTGGATTCCGCATTTGAATCATTTTTTTAACATCTTGTTTTTAAACATACGATTTTTCCCCTTTCTAGTTTGCGTTTCAAGGCCGACATTAGAACCAACGTGATTGTCTTCATTATTGTATTTTTACTCATTTACTAATCGATGAAGGAAAATATTAAAAAATGATTTAATAACATGGGAATGAGGTCAGATAAAGTTCATAGAAGCATGCAGATAACTGGTTATTTTAGGTTAGAGAGGGGACGTAGAAATATTCGCCCGTATATAGTGAATACAGTACTTACATATGTATGCCGATGCATTTAGAGCAGTAGTAGCCCGGCAATCTCAACTCTAAAACGCGATGGCATTTCGACCTGGACAAATTTATCAATATATGGAACTATTATCACCTAATTCGCAATGGTGCAGCTAAGCAACATGTCATGCAG